GGTATACAACCATAGCAAACTAGTTTGTAGTGGGATTGAACTTTGGGTTCAAAATTTCACAATGAGCTTGAACGAAGGTCTTATATGGTAAAATGTCGGCCAACAAAACTCTATATGAAGTTAAATTGACAGTGCTAGGCAACGTCGTTCCAACTCACCGAAAATGTCAACCCCACTTTCGAAAACCGACTATCTCTCAAGCTCACTCTATCACAATATGTCGCTGTTTTATGTTGATGTATGTTGTCAAGAGCAGCTCAGTGCTGTATGGTACATCTTCAGGCAATTTGTATGGCAGCCGGAGTTTATTTCCTATTGGAACCAATGGTCTTAAGCGTTTTGTACGTTTGGTGTCAGCTAAATAAGGACACTATCGTTTCGTTTTGGTTTGGAACGACATTCAAGGTTTTTTTTTTCAAAGCAGTTTTTGTATATCCAATGTTTTCAGAAATATTCATTATTTGTCTATAGAATTCTTCAAACCAGCCCTGTTACCTGTTACTGTTTTATTAGCTCCAGCCAATATATCTTTTTGCTTTTTCTAACAGTATTCCTACCTTTCTTTGACCTGTTTTGGATAATCTGTTTTAAAACATTCAATAAACCTCCATTCCAGGCGATGTATCTCCCTTGGATATTGTGTGGTTTCAATGCGATTCTTCGTGGTGGCGGTATAAATGAACTATTGGGTATTTTGGTCGGACACACGTACTATTTCCTGGCATTTGACTACCCTCTTCATCACGGTGGAACTTCCTTCTTACGGACACCGCAGTTTTTGTACAGTTATCTTCCAAACGAGGAAGGTGGTGTTCATGGATTCGGAGCCGATCGGGTGAACCAACGAAGAGGGGCAGCTGGAGGTGGTAGACATTTTTGGGGACGAGGACAAGCAGTAGGCGGAGAGTGAGCTGTGTTCTCAGTAGTCCTTCTCAAAGTAATAAATAATCTTCGTGGAACTGGTGAAACTGGTGTGTGTTTTATTGCTATAAGTATTGGATAAGATTAGCACGCTATCTTTTTTTTGCGTTCAGCCTGTGTATTTAGTGTTTGTCACCTTAAGCGTCGAGTTTATGTGATCTTTATGCCACTATTTTTTCTTTTAGCCGGGCTATGCCGAGCATCTTGGAGCGTTTCCTGATGTAAATTTCTGTAAATAAAAGTCATTTGAATTTTTTTGTCATTATTCTATGTTGTCGTCCATTTTGTACTTTTACTGTCGCTGTTACTCTATATTTATATTTATTTCACATATTATTGATTGAGAATCTTACAATTAAGATATCATGCAAAACGACGCTGGTGAAACTGTGGAGCTGTACGTCCCTCGTAAATGGTGAGACGTTTTATGTTTGTACTTGAATAATAACAAATGTTACTTGGTCGTAGTAATTGTCAAGCTTTTATTTCTTCCTGTCTTCTTACACTTCATCTTGTTCAATTAGCATTTTCTTTCAGCTCGTCATCAAACCGCCTCATTGGCCCTAAGGATCACTCATCCATTCAAATCGATATTGTTGATGTCGACCCTATTACTGGACGCATGGTTCATAGTCATTTGTCAATCAAGGTCACTATTATTAGCAAAATTACCTGTTTGTTTTGAGGTCGCCGGGAAATCAACTCGTTACGCCATCTGTGGTGCACTTCGTCGCCAGGGAGAGTCTGATGATGCGCTGCTGAGGTTAGCTCAGAGGGACGGACTTATCCCCAAAAATCTCTGATTCATTGTTGAATGTTATGATAAAGTTACTTTTCTAATCTATTGTTGTGTAATTTGGAAATTGGTACTAGTAGCAAATGGCTTGGTGATTAGACATTTTCAATGATTGGAAACGGCGAATTTTCGTCTTATACGGCGAACACTGAAAGTGTGGAAAGCCGTGATGTCTTGAGCAAAAAGAATCACGTGGTCGTGACTTTGTGTTTTTGCTTTGAAGTTGGATATTCCTGATACTCTTCACTCACTTCTGGTTTTAAAAAATTCTACATATTTCCGTGTTATACGTATTCAATGGTTTTAGCTACATTTCCATTTCTTGTGATGAAAAGAGAACACGTCTTCGGCTACACAACATGTGAAGAAAGTTGTGGTATTTTCGTATACCGTTATGTTCAGTTAAATCCATACGACGACGGTGGTGACTGAGAGAGAAAGAAAAGTTGTTGCTGGGAAAATCGAAATTTATAGGCTTTAATTATGGTTTGGGAAGCACATTCAACTTCATTCCCTGTTATCTGGCTAGTCGAGAGTGCGGAAAAATGAGTTGGTGATGTGCAGTTTCTGTACTCAAGGGCCCGTTTTGAAAACGTAAATTGCAGTTAATGATCATGAGAAACGAGTGATCATGCGAAGGATCTTTGAACAAAGTTGTTTGGAGTTAGTAAACTGCACTTAGATGCATTCTAATTATTCATTAGGTCGTTCCATGATTTTTGGCACTAGAGCAGTGAACACCAAATTTATTGACCGGATGTAATCAAAATCGCATGATTTGGTATCGTTCTATCGCGCGTTTTACTGCGGACATTTCAGTATACAATTTATCTATACTTGCTTCAAGATGGAGCTGTCTTGAGAACAAATTCGCTCATTGCTCATGCACGTAGGGGAAAATGTTAGTGAAGCGGCGCGCAAGATTAATGGAGCTTCCTGTGGACGGCGCGAGCTCGACTGACCCTCCAGACTGTTCTCTTCACTTTAGTTTTGCGAACCACTTCCCAGCCGTCATTCAACACTCGTGTCATTTATTCACAACCGTATTCGCTCGAAACTTCAGTGATCTTACGTGCCGCCTCACTAGCGCTTCCCCTTATGCGCCATTCGTGCATCAGTAGCGAGCGAATTTGATCCCAGATAGCTCCATCTTGATGCAAGTATGAGCAAGTTGTATAACAAAATGCTCACAAGTAAAGGCATAACTGAACAATGCTAAAATCATGCAGTTCTAAGTACGTCTGGTTACTAAATCTGGTGGTTCTTGCTCCAGTGCCAAAACTTATATAACGGCCCTCGTCCCTCTGAAACTTGTGATGTGATTGTGAATTAGACAAACATGAACTAATGAAGAAGCAGTCAAAGGAATTAGCGGAAGGAACGGAAGGGCTCAACGATCCTTTGATTGTAGTTGTTAGACTGCTGCGATTAATGGATGATTCAAGTGCAACCTGTGTACAGACAATGTTCCTCACAGGATAACGAAGACTTTTACCTGCCAGGTGACATGAAAATTTTGTACTACTTATCGTTTCCACTAAAAATCGGTTAATTCCAGTGTTGCTATGGACCTTTCCCATACTAGTCTCAATTAATGCTTTTTGGAAATTTTCTACCGTTATTTCTTGGTACTTTCTTTGTAAACCTATTCAAGGTGATTGATGGATTGTGTTTGAATGAGCCTTATGTATGGTTTCATCCAAAACATGTCTTTACATAGAGCGCCTATTGCTTCCAGAAAGCTTAATCACATTGTATTAAGTGAGAAACTTGTTAAAATCGCTTATGCGGTGATTTTAGATTATTCTGTAAAACTGCGCCTGAGATCAATCTATCAGATAGTCCAAAGTTCAGTCCGCAGAACTTGAAAGTGGAGTACAGCACTGCAAAGGAAAAAGCCCCAGCAATCCGGAAGTCCAATGCGCGACAGCACAAAGGTCAATGCGTCGCTAAGGACAGTCCAACCATCTTTGGCCATCCATCAGATCATACTAACACAATCCAGGGATCAAACAGCAAAACCACTTAACCATACAATACAAAACCACTGAACCTCCACTATCATTTAGTGCATCGGCTACAAACTTTTACTACATTTTTGGTGCACTGGTGGTTCAGTCGTCGAATGCTCGCGTACCACGAGGGCGACCCGGGTTCGATTTGCGAAATCAGATGGCAAAAGCCTTGCCTGTCATCTCTTCAGCTGTCATAAGTTCAATTAGGGCTTTTATAATTACACATTGAAGTATTCTTACTTTGCTATTATTACACTATTGTTATCACGATAGACAATTGAACACTTTGACGTCGACGTGAATTCGCTGAAAACCACAACGTCCGATGGTTTTGTTTTGGTGCCCTGAAGTTTCTTTCTTGAGTTCTTGTAATCAGTTGGTACATTCTCGTCTTTCTTGAGTTCTTGTAATCAGTTGGTAATTCGTTCTTTTGACTTTTGAAAAGATACACTAAAATTGGAACGACAACCGGAAAAAACATGCATCTGATGATTGACTTAGAGCATTTGATTTAACCAAAGGGAAGTTTAGGTTATTGCTACTATTACTTTGATCAAGTCATGGAAGTAAAATATGGAGTTGCCGTGATATGCGTCGCTCGTGTAAAGACGTCTTATTGACAACTTTTCACTTGATTGTTTAAAAAAATGTATTCAATTCATTTTATTCCTCTTAAGGAAGTTTATTGCAAATCATAAAGTGACAAATCATTGTGAAGAGAAATTTCCTTAACCACATCTACATTTAATAAGCTACCGATTGATAACAACAAAAGGTTTAGGAAAATTTCAGTACGCCAAGAGTAAAGCACAGAATAAAAGTGTAGCGCTTTTCGAAACCTAACTTTCTTCAAGATACCATGCCATTTCTTTTACCGTAATCATATGCGACGAGTGAGTGGAAAACCACCGCACGATACAAAAGTCTTCCGTTGCCGGGAATCGAACCCGGGCCTTACGGGTGAGAGCCGTAAATCCTAACCACTAGACCACAACGGACTTGTGAGGTTGCTCTCCTCTTGTATTCTGCCGTGCAGAGCAACTCGCGTACGCTATACATTATATATATATATATATATATATACGTATATGTATGCACATATATGCATATATATGTATATATGCATGTATATGCATATATATACATATAAATATGTACATATATACATATATGTGCATATATATACATATATATGTATATATGTACATATATATGTGCATACATACAGATACATATACATATGTATATATATAAGCATAGCGGTGTTAAAGGTGGTGTAGTGGTAGCACGCGTTCCTAGTGTGGATGAAACGTGGATTCGACTCCCGTTTTAGGTTGTATTTTTGCTCACACTCAATTCTCTCAAGTATATATGTAAACTGATATGATTACAGAAACCATTCAATTTCAGTAACCTATATGCGAGCTGCGAACGCCGGGTTGCAATATCAATGTAGTAGAATCCTAATGAAATTTGGATTTTGATCACTGCTAAAAAGGCTTCAATTGTCAGCGAATGGTTGAATATGATAGAAAAGACCTCAATATGGCTATATTTGGTTGAAATGTGGTAGAACAATCACATTACAATGACTTGTTTGTCAAAAATGGTACTGCATATTAGCAATATGACCACTTGGTCGATAATTCGAAGCAACTTTCTGTTAATACTGGACTTTAGGAGTTACGACTTTTATAGGGTTATAGAAGAGACTTTATTTGGTTGTCTCATAAGTGATGACTATCTACATAGTCTCTATCTATGAACATGATTCTTCGTTACAGTTTGGAAACGCACTGTTCTCTAATGAATGTATGTTTCCTAATGAAAAGTAGGAAGTTTCAACACAACTGGGCGTTCCTTCTACTGAAAATAAATGTGAAGAAGACCCTATAGTGGTACTCTGTTTTCTCATTGCGAAAAAGGTCTGCTTGAATTCCGAATCTCATCGTATAATTCCAAAAAAATCCGCTATAAAGCCGAAGCAACACGCTCCGAAAACAATACGTTATCGTTTTTTTTTTGTTAGGAGAATGTTGCATGAAAGTCGTTTCACAGGCCAAGCTTATATATATATATATATATATATATATATATATATATAAGCTATATAGCTATTATAGCTATATATATATATATATATATATATATATTTCTTCGCTTTGCTGACGATATCGTTCTCATAACACCAAACATCAGCCAAGCGGAACGAATGTTGACTGATTTCGATAACGCCTGTGGAAAGATCGGTCTTCAACTGAATCTAACGAAAACAATGTTCATGAGGAACGGATGGGTTTCTAATGCCCCATTCACGCTCAACGGAACGACAATTTCCGAATGCTCCAGTTACATCTATCTAGGTCGTGAAATCAACATGATGAACGACCTAGCCCCAGAGTTGAGCAGGAGGAAACGAGCGGCTTGGGGAACGTTTAAGAGCATCGAAGATGTAGTGAAGAGGACAAAGAACATCCGACTCCGTGCCCACCTTTTCGACTCGACAATTATCCCTGCCCTAACGTATGCAGCAGAAACGTGGTCGCTACGTAAGCAGAATGAAAGATCACTTGCCGTTATCGAACGCGCAGTCGAAAGGTCGATGCTAGGAGTATCCCGTATTTCGCAAATGAGACAAAGGATCCGAACTTCCGACCTACGTCGACGATCGAAAATCAGAGACGCCGTTCTACACGCCAGGATATCGAAAATAAGGTGGGCCGGACACGTGATGCGCTTCAACGACAACCGATGGACGAGAGCCGTTACCGACTGGATTCCTCGGGACGTCAAGCGCTCTAAAGGAAGACCACTGACCCGTTGGTCCGATTTCTTCACGAAAGCGATGGAAGAAAGATATGATGCTCAGCGAATTCCTAGAGCAAGGAGGACCCACTGGGCTTCTCTTGCACGCGATAGGGAAAAATGGAAGAGTTGCTGGTACCCGCTCGAGTCACTCGACGATCAACGGGACGACAGGTGATACAGGTGATATATATATATATATATATATATATATATATATATATATGTATATATATATATCAAAATCGGCATTTCTCGTATATAATATATATATATATATGTATATATATATACATATAGAAGCTTTTTCCGTTGGCAACCACATGTACCGTTTTCGGTAAAGGCCATGCGCGTCGAGCTTATATCACCACTCGCTTCATTTGAAAATAGTAATTCATTTGATGATTTGAGGTGCTCAGGGGACATCATCAGCATTAAATGATAAAATATCGCAGGAAAGACTTCCACAGATTTTCGTCCATCTGCCGGAAATTATTTTGTGTTTTAACGAAAAAAGCTCATCTGTTTGAAAGGAAACTTACTTACAGTTTCTATACAACATTTGGTCCTCTCTTTTTAGTATATCTTTTTCCTCTATAGCTTTGAAAATGCCGATTTTCCCGTTGAGCGTGCTTCATGAAAAGTCTATCTCAGTACGTTCTACCAACGAAAAAATGATAACGCCTTGCGTTGCCATAATATGTTGAATACTTTTGAAGAAAATTTCTGTAAACTTGTCTTCAGTATAAAGAGCGCCTAATTTTGAAAATATTTCCACTTTTCGTCACGATTTGTACAAACTGCAGTTACATAATGTGAAATGCCTCGTGTGTCCTTGCCTTTTTTACCAGAAAGTATATTTTCACTAAACTGTTAACAATCAATTGGTAGCTTGAGAAATCGAAAAAAAACGTAGTAGGCTTGGTTTATGAAAGAAAACCTTCTTATTGCGGTGTAAGAAATGAAAAGCAGACTGTGCTTTGCTTTTGCACTAGGTGACCCGTTGTTTGAACTTTACGCTGGCTTTTAGTACTTATACAATCAAATTTTAATTTTTGAGCAAATTTAATGTTACAAAACGGTATACTATCAATTGGAAAAATGTGTATTCACAAAGACAATGCCCACGTATTCCAAAAATCCTCACCTTTTAATTAGAGATTACATCTTTAGTAAAACCATACTTCTCGAAAACCTTGGAATAAAAAAGTCTTATTGTGCGTTTCTCTCTCCTATTTTATGGAAAATTAATTCGAAATACATTTTCCATTATGTTGAGTTCGTAGAATGCACGTATATGGCAGGAGTTCTAGTATGTACCCGGAGTGAGCTCGACAGAGTTCGCATTGATCAATTTCAGGAGAACTTTTTCAGAAAAATACACTCAGACCTTACATTTTGCTTTTCAGCAGACTATTGGTAGTCATTCGATAGCTAAAAAAGTAGGGATTTTATTACTAGGTTTGGATTACAAAAAGGTTTTGTCAGTGCGTAACATCAACGAGGGAAAATTGCGCCTAGCCTTTGAGATAGCTAGTCCATAATCTGAACGTCACCGAGAGCTCTGTTGATAGTTATATAGTTAAATTAACATAGTCAGAACAATTAATTGTTGCAAAGCAGCGACATATTAACAGAACATCTCCGTAGGCGTCTTCAGTAGAAAGTGCGCCAATACGTCCTAAGAATCCACGTTCCACGGAAAGCCACGGAAAGCCACGGAAAGCTACATAAATGAACTTGCTTCCAACTCTTCTCATTACTGTCGCATATTTTGCAATGCTGAGACCGTCTTTTTCTACTTATCATTCATCCGACCGCAACAGATAGTTGTCTCTTCTATTGGCTTGAACACCTCACTCTCTCACAACACTACCATTGCCATCAAAGAGTAGGGCAAGATTCTGGATGGAGATACCTTTGATCACTAACTAATTACCTTTTCATCAGTGTCTATTTAACGTGATTTGGTACAACACAGTACAACACTGGATGGATTTTCAAAGGTTTCTCTTAGCTTGGAGTTTGGAACGGTTAGACCTAGCAATCTGCTAAGCCGATCACTTCCAAAGGCAGAGCTCTGAAGATAATGAAGGACGTGTGTTCGAATAGTGAGCAGTGTAGCTAATGTCTTTGGAGACTGCGCACAATCTATCCTTACATTTTTTGACGCTCAAGACCTTTTTTTGGAGATATTCAATTAGACGCAATTCCCTTTACGCCTTTAGTTGTTCAGTGACGCAATGCAACCGACTCCTTTCCGCTTTCGTGAACAGGAATCCGTTGGAATTAACAAGGCCTATATGTGAGAAGAGAATGATTCTATCATTATCTAAGGAAATAGTAAAAGCTTCAAGCTTTTGTATAAAAGTGTTAGACGGAAGAACCGCAACAAATCATGCGGTGGAGGGGATACCTCCATTGGTGAAAACAAGGCCAATTAGAACAGTTGGGCAACAAGTCTCTGTTCTACGGTTGGACGTCTACAACCACCTCGATGTGTTCACACTGGAGTTACTAGGAGAGGTGGGAAGTTGATCGGGCGCATGACGTCGTCTTGAGGGCATTCAACTAAAAGGGAATACGGTGAGGGCGTAAAAGGTGCGAATGTTCAATGTCGAAATCACCACGAGAAAACGTGCTTGGAGTACAGAATAAACTCTTAAAATGAAAATATAGTATCCATACAACAATAGAACAAAGTCTTTCTATAATTTAAAAAGGTTTCAACTCCAGGAGCTTTTTTTATTAATGAGGAGATTATTTTGTGTTATTGATGAACTGGCATAGCATGCAGTGTGAAGCACCATTTTCTCTAACAGTTGGTCAATTTCTCATTTTCAATCACTAACATGACTTTGGTTTTTATTATATGAAATAGTTTTAAATTATAATATTTTCACTGCTTTTTTCGCAGTGTTATGATGTTACTTATACAGCTGAGAGAATTGAGTGGTGAACAAAAACACGGCCTCAGGCGGAAATCAAACCCACGTTTGATCCTATCCGGGGATTCTCTCATCTATATAACTAACATCATAACACTGCGAAAGAAGCAGTGAAAATACTATAATTTTGAAGTATTATATATAACAGTGGCTGTCAGCTTAACGGGATTTATAAAGCGAAATCGCATATCCGACCAAATCTGCTGAAGGTTGGTGGCTGATAGCTAACATAGAGATGTCGAAAAATGAGTGGTCGGGCAAATGTGCCTTAGTGGTGTAGTGGTAGAGCACACGTCCCCGGATAGGATGAAACATGGGTTCGATTCCAGCCTGAGGCCGTATTTTTGCTCACCACTCAATTCTTTCAGCTATATAAGTAAAATAGTCTCAAAACTGAAAGATTTTTGTCGCAATTTTGTTTTCACAACAAAAAACTGATAAATTGATTGATTATTTGAATATTATTCATTTGCGGCAGCGAATAAGCAAGAGAAGCTGTCAAAATGAAAAATAACATAAAGATATAATTGAAACTCCATGAATATGGAAAAGATAGCATCTATGAGGTATGAAGGTTGTCCTA